ACAGGAGCAGAAACTGGGTGATAACAAGGAGGACAGCAGAACCCACTGTCCCTTTCTGGCTGATTCCCACCAGTGGCCCCCAACTCTGTTCTGTAACTCGGGGACAGTGGGGTGTACAGAAACATCTAGAGGAGGCCGGGACCACCAAAAGCAAAAGCACTACATGGGGCTTCTGGAAGTTACTGTTATTTCAGTGTGATGTTTTCTATTAAAGCTTTCTAAAAGTCATGGTAAAAGTGTTTGGCCCACTGTGGATGGCAGAAAGTAATCAAATATAGACCCCACCATGGCCTTCATCTGTCCTCATGGTGTTTTTTTATTTGATATTTAACATCATTCTCAGGAAAAATTAAATATTTAAATTAGCAGCATGAAATGAAATGACTTATTCTGGTCAGTAAATATCAAAGATGGTATGGGAGATTTGCCTTAAAAGATCAAACCCCAGTTCCATGTGTAGCCTACTCTAAATATATTAAATATATTAAATACATAAATATTCTATCTGCACAGCATAGATCTTCTACTTGGAGTTATTTTTTAAACCAGCAGTTCTCAACTGCGGTGATTTTGTGCAATCCTCCAACTTCCTGACAGTTGGCAATAAATACAAACATTTTGGTGACACATCTAGGAGATTGCTACTGGCATCTAGTGGGTAGAGGCCAAAGATGCTGCTAAGTATCCTACAGGACACAGGACAACCTTCTGCAACAAAGGATTTCCAGTCTCAAATGTTAAAAGTGCCAAAGCTGAAAATATGGTAAAATGCTAAATCTCAAAGTTCTCCTACAACTTAGTGCCTGGATTCAAGGACATAATACTATTGAGGTACAAATGGGAGGGCACTTATGTGCAGAAAGCACATTTTAAAAAATTCTTTTAAAACATATGATCACTCTCACCCACCTCCTCCCTTGACAAAGGCCTTCAGAGCAGTTAACAACTAAACACCGAGGCAATATGGATTTCATCTCAAGGCTGCTACCCTTTGTAGAAAGGGAGGCTAAGGCAAGCTTTAAGAAAAAACAAAAAGCTCAAAGAGATAAATGAACACTGTCACTGGAGAGTCTTGATGACAAACTTGTGTCAGAGAGAGGGTTAGCAGGAGGTTAATATGAAGGAAAACAAATATTAAGGAGGATAGGAGGATAAAACTGCGAAACAAAGCCAGGATTGGTGGCACACGCTTCTAATCCCAGCACTCTGGGAGACTGAGGCAGGAGGATCACTTTGAGTTCAATACCAGCCTGGGCTACACTTTCGAGGCCAGCCTGGAAAACACTGGGAGACCCTGACTCACACAAAACAGAACAAAACAAAACAAAATCAGCTAAACTAAATGCCAACAGAAAATTGGGCAAGATTAAAAATGTATGTTTCCTTCTGCAACCCCGAGATCCAGGTAAAAACCTTTATGACACCAGGGAGGACGTTAGAAGCCAAATACATTAGCATAAATCACCAGACAAACAAACACTTTTGTACTTGGGAGAGAACCCTGCAGACTTTCCCAGCCTCAGGGCTCCCACTTTTGCCTCCCTGCCCTCACTGCCTCCCTGCCCTCATGGAACGCAGGTGAGGACGGAGGCTGCCTACAGTCCTCTTTGAGCCTTTGACCTCGCTGTTCCTTCTGCTTAGGTGTAACCCACCCTCACCACCCCCTGTGCCTGGCTCAGGCCACCTCCAGGGGCCATCATGGAAGGCATCCCTGCCTTCCTTGTCATCTTGGCAGGGCCACTCTGCATGCTAACCACCCACACATGGGTTTGTGTGCCTGATGGGTGGAGGTCCCCTGAGGGTAGGGTTTGTGTATGGCAGTCCTGACAGAAAAGGCACAGGGAACTCGTGTTCAGTGACTGCTACTATGTTTAAATGACAATCAGTGTCTCCCCCACAGCCACCATCACTTTCTGCAACAGCAGATGCCCACCACATCACTCTATCTATTCTTTACCAAATCTTATCATTTCATTCACAAGTGAGGTAATTTGACATGTGACTTGCAAATATAACCCCAAGGCCCAAGCTGGCATCAAACATGTAACTGAACAGGTTCTTAAAAGGCAGTCATTATATAAACATTGATACAATCAGAAAGTTCTTTCACCTCTGCTCACCTGCGTTATGTATATCATATATATCTGTTATGTTGGTCTGTTGTATTTAAGACTAATGCTTTTAAGCTACCTTTATGAAACTATACTTCTCCAGCTTGTTAAAATATTAAAAGTCAAGTTAAAGTCAATTGGATTCCTTAATTTGCTAGCTGTATTACAAATACCAGTATATCTTGGCACCTGGGAAGACACACAGACTACATGCATACACATACATAATCACAAAGGTAACTGGATATGTATCAAATACCATAGAATCACAGAACAGCATTTTTCCAAACTGTCCTTTCGCATCCTTCTCTGCTTAAAATTTTACATTTCTTCCCTTCTATGCTTTCTAACCAGAAAAATCTGCAACCTCTAATCTGGTTTATGTATGTAGCACCTGCTTTCTGTAAAAAGTTGGAACTTTTACAATCTCTTCTAAGAAGGCGTCATATAACACACTTCTTTGCTGACAGTGATAAAGAATTAATCCAAGAGACAGAAGCACAAAATGGATCCAAAGTTGGAGCTGTTACTCATTTTAATTCATTGATCTCCACTTCTGTCTAGGGAAGCAGGGAATTCCTACTCCCAAAAGGGTATGTGTACACAAGTCTGATTCCTGACACAAACCCTAAGCTCCCTGTATCATAAACAAGATCTCCACGTGGGTTACCTCTACTCTGAATTGAAAATAAAACTATCAAATTGTGAGGCAGTCTCTCTGGCTGGGTGTACCTGCATTTATGAAATCTGCTGCTTCCACAGGGGAAGAATCTACACTGAATGAATGAATGAATGACAGATCAAGGTCAAGGTTAACAGTAGATCAAATTGTGAAAAACAAAAAGAAACTCAGAAGTGGTCTATCTCAGGTAAAAATTTCACTAAACCAACTGGAACCCATTAAGACTGATATAAAGCACATTTCTCTTTCCCTTGAGTCCTGAAATGCGTTATATACAGTAATGCACAAATATATTTCTAGGTTGAAGTATGCAATGTTAAGAAAAATTACTATGTATCTCTCTTTAACGTTGTTTAAATCCTATCACTGACAATGCAAACTTAAGGATGAACCTATGGAAAGTGTCTGCAGTTAACCAAAAGCACCACTCCAAAGCCCAGCCCTGTCATCCTCAGTTGTCCCCTAGGCCCATGACAAGCCAGGCATCAAACTGAAGCCTCTCTATTCTGCTCGAGCCATTGCTGGATCTGTCCCTTTCCTCTGCTTCTGGTCCCCTACTAGAACATCCTCCTTCCTCCTCTCTCTGAGTCTCCCCAGTCTGGAAGCTCTTTTTCTCTATTTAACCTTCATGGTTCATTCCAACTGGGAACACAATTGGTCCAAGTGCACTGGACTCTTAGTTGTTTCAAGTTCATGAACCTGTGCATCGTCTCACATGCTTCAGAGTCCCTTACAGTACCTACCACAGTGTGAGGACAACATCGGTGCTCAGTAAATTTGTTACTTGGGGCATAATAGGTGCTCAATAAAACCCTCCTTTCATCTACCAATGATAATGAAGCACCACACTGAGGGAAATTACCCAATGGATTCAATCCAAAGAAACAATTTCGTACTAATTGCCAAGCTACTTAAAGCACAAATGTTTTCTGGTTTTAATTTTAATTGTCACTCTCAACTAAATACTTCACCACCGTAGGCTTGCAAAACACTGTAAGAATAACAGAATATTCGCCAAAGTTAGTCTCCAGCAGTATCCTGAAAGGGATCAATGAAGCAATTACGCATGTAACTGTTCAGCTTCCAAGTTGTCTTGGGCAGCTTTCACTAGGAGTGCTCCAGTTATTTTTGGTCTGAAATATTTGCACTAACTACTCCAATCTTTCTATCCTACCCTCTTGAAAGAAATGAGCCAAAACAGTATTTAAAAGGGTAAAATGCTTCCAAACAGGATTCATTACTTTTCAAAAATACCAGATCCTAGAACAGAAAGGAACTGAGACTGTGTCACCAAAAGAATGCAAAATGGGGGGGGGGGGTTCCTACTTTAAATTTAAACTCCTTTTTCAAGATAAGCAACAAGAACACCCAAAGTGAGGAACTTGAATGAAACACTGGTAGACTCCTCCTCGGAGAGTTCCCGTGGACTCTCCCTTCCAATCCACGTTCTTTAGACTTTTTTTTCTGCCTGCAAAATGCAGCCTTCCTCCAGAATAATTCCATTTAAAAAGTCCCCACCCGCGAGGAAACATTAATCTACTTTGCAAACATGCGTTCCAGTCTGTACTTTACTATTTTTTTAACTCCTCCCCCCACCCCCCTTTTTTCGTACCTTGAGACAAATGTTTTTTTCCCCCAGAGTTGAAAGCTGTCCAAAAACAGGACCACACACGCCGCCGCCTCCGCAGGCCGGCACTGCGCCCGCTCCCCCCCCACCCTCCCCCCAGCGCGCCGGCCGCCGGGGCGCGCGCACTCCCTCCCGCCAGTGGTGGCCTCCCCCCCACCCCGCCCTCGTTCCTTTCTCTCCGCGCGCCTTGGGTGGGGGTGGGAGAGGGAAGGGCACAGAGCCGAGAATCCCGAACCCGAGAGGCCCTCCTGGAGCCGCGTCTCGGGGCCAGGACAAGGCGGGCGGCGGCAGCAGCGTGCTCCGGGACCCCCAGCCGCGCCGAGTGGTCCCGCGAGAGGCCCTGCGCCTTTGCCATCCGTCCCCCCACACCTAGCGAAGCGCGGCGCCCCGAGCCGGTCACAGCGCGGCCTTTGTCGGCGGGCCTGGCTTGAGGCCAGGAGCCCAAACAATAAACAGTTCCCCGGGTCCGGGCTGGGGGCTCGCACTGGCCACGCCACGGCCGCGCCCTAGATACACGCCGTCGAATGTCTTCATCCCATAGAGTGGAGGAAAGGGAAGGAAAGGGGCGCGGGTTGCTTACCTTCCACCCACAGCTCCTCCACGTTGGTCTCCAGATTAGCTGCCTTTAATCCCACCGCGAAGGCCCCAAATATGAGCAGGCCCACAACCAAGAACTTGCCGCAGTTTTTTTGAATGTAACAACCCAGTTTAAATAAAAGTCTCTGAAACTTCGCTCTCAGCCACAGCGGCGCTTTTCGGCCGGTCGCCTTCCCCTGGGGACGAAGCAGAAGGGAGGAGTAAACGCCGGGGAGTCGCCCGCCCGGGACCCCCCCCCCCCCACGGACCTCGAGCTAGGGCTAGGACCCGGTGTGGGGACGGGGAGCCTGACTGGTCATAAATCAAAAGTCAGCTACCCCTTGAGAACAGCAAGGCCACCTCACGCGTGGCTAGCGCGACGTCCTGGAGTATGACCTGGGGCGAAATACTGGAAGAAAAAGTCAGGGCAGACAGAAAACGCTGGACGCGAGTAGGATTCGCCCCAGAGCAGGGAAGGGAGGGGCTGCGTAATTCCAGAGAAGGAGCCCGGCACTTAGGAACCGGGAAACCACGACCCCCTTCCTTTAAGCTCGGCTCCGAGACTCCTCTCCAGACGGGTACTAGGGCGGGCATGCTTTGGAGGGACCGTATTTTGCGAGTCCCTTAGCCCAAGTGGTAGTCAGTGGGGGTCCACGTGGAGAACGCGGCCGCCGGAGCGCACTCAGGGCGCATTTCAGCGGCGTTGGGAGACGCTGTGCGAGCGGAATTAGGAAGCCGGGCAGCCATCGGCGACTTACGACAGAATCTGGGATCGGAAGAGGGCAGCCACAAGGATCTTTCCCTCCTGGCTAACGTTACACACGCCGAGTGCACGGGGCAGGCAGAGCGCAGGCGGGCTCAGGCGGGCGCAAGCGGGGCCCCTGCCCGGCCCCTCTCGGTGCTCGCCTTCCCCGGATTCCACACATTTCAGCCGGCCCCATAAACACAATGAACCCGGCCGCCCCGCACACCCGCACTGCAGATTTAAGGTGGCAATTTATTTACCACGCTCCCTCTACCCGTCAGGGTCGGAGGACTGGCGGCTCAAAAACCGGAAAAGAAGAGGGGGTATGTCCTCTTCTGAGGATAATTTTTAAGGGAGCAGAGGTTTGAAGCTCAACAAAAGCAAAACCGGCTGCCAAAAAAGGAAACCACCTTTATTTCGGCTCCCTGCCCCCTTCCTCTCTCCGCCTCTCTCCACTCCGCCTCCTTCTCCAAGATGTTAAGAAATGTGGCAGCGTTACAGGGGTTTAGGCTGCACGTTGGGGCCGGAGCGCGGGAGGAGGGAGGCTGGGGCGCGGGGCGAGCTGCACCGCAGCCGCACTAGAGGTGGTCCTCGGTGGCCCGCTGCCCGAAGCTCCGGAAAAGGCTCGCCGGGGAGGGGGCGCGCGCGCAGACACATACACACACAGACACACACACTCCTCCACCCCCTGCGGACCTCAGACAGCCTTTCCAACTAGGACCGGACGGAGGGTTTGAATTTTTCAAGCCCCACTTGTCTGCAGCTTTTCCTGGAGAGGTGTGTGTGTGTGTGTGTGTGTGTGTGTGTGTGTGTGTGTGTGTAAGCGCAAGCGCGCGCGCAGGGGCGACCGTAGAGAGGAAGAGGGAAGGGAGAGTGGAAAGAGGAGTCCGAAATGCACCTTGGAAATCTGCTCCAGAGCGAAGGCTGCGTCGCAGTAGCTGGGCCGGTGCAGATAGTCCGGGTCCGGCGCGGCGGCTCGGCGCAGCCCCCCGGTTCTTCTACGCCGCCCACCGCCGCCGCGGTCCTGGGGCTCGGAGGCGTCACCCGCCGAGGCCATGTTGCCGCCGCCGCCGCCTCCTCCGCGGGGACCGAGGCTCCCCGGGCCGCCGCTGCGCACCCCCGGGCGCCCGGCTCGCGAGGACGCTGCTCGCCGCCGGCCTCTGGGGCTCGGGCTCCGGGCGACAGACCTGCTCACGCGGCGGCCCCCGCGCCTTCAGAGCCCGCGCCTTCCATTGCCACATCGCGCGGGGGTCCCGCGGTCTCCAGTCCTCCGCGCGCGGGGCGAGCTTGGCCTCGCGCGCCCCCGACCCTCACGGCCGAGACCCCCGGCGGGGCTCAGCGACACCGGGCCGGCGCGGCTCCCGAGACTCCTGCAGCTCCCGCGGGCGGAGGCGGCGCCTGGGGCTGCTGCTTGGTCCCGGACGCGGCGTTCTCGGGCCCCTCGCCGACCCGCTGGACCATTCTGCCCCCGCGCCGCGCGCCTCCCTAGCTCCCGGGACCTGGGGACTGCGCTCTGCGTGTGTGCGGCGGGCAGCGGCCGCAGCAGCTCCTTGATTCAATAGATGAGATGGAAGGAGAAAAAAAAGAACTCTCTCCATTTGGAGAAAGAGGAGGAGGAGGAGGGGAGGGGGTGGAGGGGGAGCAAGCGAGCGAAAGAGAAAAAGGCTGGAGCTCCCGCCCCCGGGGCTGTCAGATGGCTTGGGTTTCTGCGCCGCGATTGGCTCACCGAGGGCAGAAATTACTCAGCAAACATGACTATTATTAGCTGCTTAGCAACAGCTCACCAAAGTAGAGAGACCACCCAGGTAGGCAACCCCAGTGTGTGCTTCCCCGGCCTCGGGGGGAGCCCCCGCGAGCGCCAACCTTCTCGCACGCAGTTCTTCCATTAAGGAATGCTCCCCCCTCCTTTCTTATTCCTTTTCTTTTCAACTGTGTCTCTTTTTTCTTTTTTGGTGAGACGCCTTTTGCGCGCGCACACACACGCGAACACACACACAAGAGCATTTACTTCACGATAGACACGGGGGGCATGTAATATTTTTTTAAGCGCTTAAACAATTTCTGAAATTCCTCAAAGAAAACGCTTTCAGAGGCACCTTGGCCTCAAGCTGCAGCGAATACTGGGAGGTCCGGCTTGAATTCCCAGGCCTGCACCAATAATGACAGGGTAGTGGATAGTGCGCCAGTGTGTGCCAGATTTTTTTTTCCTCCTCTCTTTTCTTTTATAACTAAAGGCAAGACTTAGGCTCTCGCAGGGAACAACGCCTCATATTAAGACAAACAAAATGGAAAGTTAAAGAGGAAAGCAAGGACGTTGGGAAAAGGCACTGTTTCTTCAAATCCGTCTTGCCCCCAACGGTCCCCCCAACACACAGAAACACACACACCCCAGGACAGCATAGTCCTGGTTTGAAGGAGTCACTGTTTTATAAACGTAGAATCTAGATACCAAAACAGTCTCGTGGAGGCAGAAGCGTTTTTATTTGAATCTTTAATGTAACATTCATAAAAACAATTCTTTCAACGACCCAGAGAAATGGAATCATTTACTTGAGAAAGTTGTCATGATTTTGGGTTAATTTGGATCCCGCATCCTTTTTATTAATCACAACTTTGTAAAAAGTAGTTTTAAACTGTTTTAAAAACAAAAATGAGTATGCATCCTTTTATGTTTAATAACAGCGTGAAGTAGGGATAATAGAAACTTTTGTTAGATTTATTCGAAACAAATTGTGCGCAGGTCGCGAGGATTTGTATCGATCCTGCACCCAAGAGTCATCAAGACATCCCAAAAACTCGCTTTCCATTCAGGAAGAAAACACGCGACCTCTGGGGGGTGATGGATACTGTGGCCAGAAGCAAATTAAATAAACTGTCTACACAGCTACGCTTTTAAGAAAAAAAATTTTTTTTCTAGGGTGGGATGCGTTTTTCTTACATTTTCAAGTTCAGTCCACAAACCCACGATTCTGTCTGTTTAGTATTTGGTTCTTCCTTTTTTTTTTCTTTCTTCCTTTCTTTTCTGGAGTTGAACTGCAGAGGGACCCGCGGTTGTGAGAAGCCGACTGAAGCCGTGAAATGGGGCAGTGTGACTTTAAGATGCACACGGTGTGTGTTCATTGAAAAAAAAAAAAAAAGGAAAGAAAGGAACCCAGATGGAGGGAAAGAGGGAGGAGCGGGGGGAGAAGGCGGAGCGCGCGCAGACACGTGACCAGGGCGGGCGCGTCCGCGCGCGCCGCCTTAGGCCGAGCAGGTCGCAAGGCCGAGAACTGGGCCCGCGGCGCGGCCCCCGGGGGCTGGAGCAGGCGCGCGCCCCGCCGGCGCGGACGGACGTGCCGGACGCGCCGTAGTACATTCCTGGAGGCGGACCAGCCGGGCTTTGCCCAATGCGCGCGCGGCCTCCCCGCAGCCGGCCAATGGCGGCGCGCACGGAGTCCTCCCCGTTTAGCAGCCCGGGCGGCCACCGGGGCGGTGTGCGCGGCTCCCGCGGGGGCCAGGCAGCCGGCCCTCCCGCCCCTTGCTTCCTCCCGCGGCTCCCCTGGCCCCGCTTCCTTCTCGCCCCTTCCTTGTTCTCTGCTCTCTTCCTTCTCTATCTCTCCCCTCCTGGCCCAGCTTCGCCACTTTCCCTCTAGCCTTTTCTCCTTCCTGGTTTCACTGGGAGCCCTTGTTCTTTAAAATCCCGAGCCTGGCAAAAGTGTGCGGTACCCGGAGCGGGGTAGGGTGACCGGGGCGGGGGGAAAGGAACAAAGAAGGTAGATGCGCTTGTGGGTGATCACCGCATCAGGAGGACCCAACTACCCGGCCAGCGCCTAAATTCAAAACTCATAAACTCCCAAGGAACACGTGATTTTGTGAGCAGCTCTGGGAAGAGCTGCTGAAATCTAGAGGGGAAGGCTAGCACGATGCAATGGAAAACGACCCTACATCAATAAATAATAGCGCAGAGAAACTGAACACGTAGTAGTTTAATCTCAGAGTAAAATCCTGGGCTTTAGTATGTTTGTTAAGTAGCATGAAACAGGAATAGTGGTTTGCTGTGTTAGCTTTTACTAAATGGTCCTGCAGACCTTTCGAGTCAAGCTGCTTGGTGCTTGCTGCTGGAAATTGTCCCCCCCACCCCCACCACCACCTTTAAAGAGACTTAGGGGTAGCACACCTCATTTTATGTCAGCCTGTTTTTATATTCGAGGCTTTTTGTTCTGTCAACTGTAGCTATAGACACGTTGCTACGTTTTTTCAGACTTGTTTACAACATTTTGGACCAAAATACTAGCGACCCCTCCCCAACCTTTTCCTTAAGCAGTTTCAGTGTAGGAATTATAAAATTCTGGAATGGAATTTGGGGTTATGTACTCTCCGGTCCCGCACTTCTCATTGCGCGCGTCCTGGCGGCTGCCACATATGGATCACTTCGTTGGCAAAGTCTCTTCCACCAGGCTCCTTTCCCTCAATTCGACTTAATTCCTAAACATTTTGAACATTGATCCCAGAGGTTTTCAGCGCCCTGAGCCCCATCGCCCACTGTTTGATAAGTTAACTTTTCAGCATCTCAAACAATGGTTCTGGCCTGTAAATTCTACCCGTCGGTTCCTGGATGCAATCCCCAGCCTCGCTCTAACAAGCGCTATCTTAATCTCCCCACCCCCTACCCGCCGCTTCCCCTGTGGTCTGCTTTTTTCATACACAGAGATGAATTACTTTGAGGATCTAATTGGCCTTGTTTCTGTAACGTTTTAAGAAAGGGAAGAGGAGCCAGTGTAAAAGCCTGCTCGACTTGGGTGGTCAGGGCTGAGGCTGCCCCCAATTTGCCTCATTGCTGATGCATGCGAAGGCGACATTCCCAGCGATAATGTTGTTCCTAATCAATCTGCCCTTATTTACATTTGTAAGCATTGTCCGCTTTAATATGCATGCCCTGTGCAAGGACTGCTGCACCACACCGGGTTTGTTAACTTCTAACTAACCACCAGGATTCCACAGACCTGGGAGAAGGCTGATTGGAGGAGCTAGGCCTGCTAAGGTGTCTGCTGGGTAACACAAGACTCTTTAATGGCCTTTCTGCCTAGTGGCTCCCCTGGTGAGAGTTACCAAGTAAGTGAGAGATTAGGGCTTTATCAACCAGCAGGAGTTGCTACCCTCTGTGAAGCAAGAGCTGAGGGATCTATTTCTCTTTCTAAGTAAAGTTCATCTCAGTGCCTAAAGTGTCGGTTTTTTCTCACCATCAAGATCCAACACTTCCTAGAGTTTAGTTTTCAAGATATATTCCTTCAACTCTCTAGATCCCCTCACAACTCCTCCCTTCTCTGTTCCAATGCTTCAAATAGCCATGGCCATGCTACACACATCTCAAAAATGACATCAGATTATCCAAAAGATGACACTGAAATAAAACATCTGCCCTTGATGTAGGGCTGTTCCAATGATAAGCTATTATGGGAGCCATACGTGGTGCAGTTCTGAAAAGCCACAGTGAGATTTAACTTTTCACTGGTTTCCCAGATCAAATCAAATGAATCTTTAAAATCCAACGCAATTTAGCTAATTTCTGCAGAGTGTGTATGAATAAAGGGGTAAATTCCAAGTAATTTGACCCTTGGGCCATTTATAATTTTGTTGAATGAGTTTGATACTCTCTTCCAGAAATCCAAAGAATTGCAAGCATGACATTAAATCCTACAGTATTCTATTTGGGAGAGATGAATGAGGACTTGATGTACTATTCTGTGTATGGATGAGGTGCCATGGATACAAGATGTGAGTGATGGGGGGGCCTAAGCGGTTCAAAGTAGGTACCTTGGATAAGAGTTGAGTCTTGACTCTCCTGAAGTCAGTATGCCACCATCCACATTTTCTTGGTTCCCTAAGAATTCTTCATTATTTTTTCATTGGCAGTTTTTGTATTTACTTAAAAGGTGATGGTAGAAAATGAGTCTAAAGGTTTCAGGGAGGAGGAGGAAAAAAAGATTCAGCAGCCACAAAATGTAAAACCACTGGGCTTGATCCTCCTCCCCTTTTGCCTTCCACCTTCAGTTTCCTGCCCTTATCCCCCCAACCCCTACCTCCCCAGGCTGGAGGAACAGGGAACAGCTCTAGCCAACTTGTCAAAATAATGCTGCTAATTACCCCTGATCTCCTTTAATGGGAAGCTGCTCCCAACTCCACAAAAGAGTAAATGAGAAGTCTACAGAACAAACCCGGAGCACTGGCATTTTGGAGCTCACAGTGAGCTGAGAGTGGAGAGGGTGGCAGAAGGGAGATACCCTGAGGAGGTCCCAGAAATCTCTCCATTGATCACTCCAGGTTTAAATACAAGTTTAAAAGGGGAATTAGACTCTATACGATGCCAAAAGCTATTGGTATTCTCTTGCTAAGAATGCCACCAATTGCAGACAATGTTCAATGCCTTCAATGAACTTGAAAGAAAACATCGAATTGACCCTCCTATTGATCCCCTCCCCTTCTCTATCTTCTTAGCCACAAGACTTTAATGGATAGAGATGTATTCTTGAAAGCCCTAGACTATGAACATTTTCTCCTCCATCTCTCTCACCTCATCTCTATCTCCCTAATATATCTATATCAAGCTTTGCATCTGGCAGAAGGCACACCATTCATTTCAGTGATCTCTGCCATTGGGTCCTGCATGAAAAAGCAGCTGAGCAACATGATCCCTTTGACCCACTGCTGGAGCAACAAATTTATTAGATATAGGCATGAGAAATGAAAGGGAAGTAAAACAATTCTAGCTTATTGTGTGTCTTTCTTTCATACTGCTAATCCGGTTTACACATCACGCCTACACGTCTCAATAGGGCATTATACACTGTGGCAGAGGCTGGGGAAAATAAAAGGTGTGTGTGTGTGTGTGTGTGAGAGAGAGAGAGAGAGAGAGAGAGAGAGAGAGAGAGAGAGAGACAGAAGATAAATACTTTAACCCATATTGATTCACCCTATAAATTTTTCTATCTAGAAAGTTGAAGACAATTTGTAATACAGCCTTTTAAAAAATCTTTTCATAAAATAATTCCAAATGATGCTAACTCCTGTTCAAATAGCCTGTCAGATTATGACTAGATTATAACTAGAAATTAGATACACCTCTCATAGTGAGTTTGAAATGAAGCTAAAACCTCAAATTGAGAATGGTCATATTAAGATGGTGGGGTCTATTGGTGTCCACTTCGATCCAACATTTAAATTTGCTTGGTGGAAGGACACTGGGTGACAACTGGAACACACACAAACTTACAGTTGAAAGCCCCTTGTTTTACAACATGGGGACACAATGCACCTGAGGCAACAATTTACTTGAGGTACCACCCAGAAATAATAAGTTACAGTACCAAAGGATGACACCAAAAAGCATTGTCTTTCTTTGTGGAGGCAATTAATTGCATGTTGAACTACTGGAGCCAAAAAACCAAAACAAAACAAAACAAAAAAACTCAACCGAACACACAAAGAATTCGGAAAAAAGACTATTGTAGTAGTTCAAGACCTCAGTGATCCAATTATTAAATATTTAGAACCACCCATTGTGGGTCTTTATTATTTATGTCTAGTTCTTTTGTATTTCTCCTCCCCAGGGAGGAAGGGTGAAAGGGAGGAAGACAGTCTTCTCTCCCAGGTCCAGCAAAACAGAGGTCTCTGGGTGTTTCCCATATACAACAACCCATAGGATTTTTAGGGCGATGAAAACTGAAATCAGAAAACTTAGGACTTGCTGTTCACCCACACACTGGGCATCATTTTAAACATGAACTTAAAATGTGTTGAGACACACACTTGTCACCCAGAGATAGTCTCTGGAGGTCCTGTGTCCCAGTGTTGGGCCCGGGCCCAAGAGGGTCTGGGCTAGTCCGACCCACCTCCGGGCTCCCCCAAGGCAGCACTTCTCGTTCTCTGCACTGGGCTACTCGCTCATCTCTTTAATGGGTAGGAGGCACAAGTGCGCCCCAACTGTGGGCGCAGGAGTCAATACACCTCGCCCCTGCCGTGGCCCCTTGTGCAGAACGTCCCTGTGGTCCTGTTTCCCAACAGCGGCGGCGGGGAGATGGGTGTAGGAGCCCCGGATTTTGGTAAAGTGCCTCCCTCCAGCCCTAGGCGTCCCAATCAGCCAGGTGTCCCCGCGGGGTTCCCGGAGCACTGGGCAAGGGTGCGAAGGCGTGCGCCCGCGCCCTCCGGAGGAAAGAACCCGCGTCCGCGCGCGCGCGCGCGCGCTCCCGGAGCCCCCAGCCCGCCCCCGGCGCTGTCACTCTACGCACCAGCTCCGCGTTCACCAGCTCTGCCTCCACTCGCGAGCCAGGGGCCACCACCGGACTGGGGAGCGGAAGCCGAGGCGGCGACCCTCTCAAGCGTGAAAATGAGATCCCAGGCCACCCCCTCCGTGGGAACTCCCCCCGGAGCCGTTCCCCGGCCCGCCCCGCCGCCTGGCGCTTGGGCTAACTCCCCAGTCCGCGCCCGGGGCGCACGGAGCGCGGGGACCGGGGCGCACGGCGCGCGGGGCCGGGGCGCACTCACCATCGCCGGCCGTCAGCCCCTGCCCGGAGCGCGGTGCCAAGGGCGCGGACCCGGGCTTGGAGTTCACATTCAGCCCTTTTTTCCTCGTCCAACGCTTCTCCGTCTTCTCCCGGCCTTCCTCGGTCTCCCCCTGGCCGGGCCGCCGCAGGTCTCTTTGTCTTTCCTGTCGTCGTCTTTTTCTTGGTCTTACTCTTCGTCTTCTCTTCCTCCTCCTCCGTCTTTACAAAAGCAGCGGAAAGGGTAAGAACCCCGGCGCGGGCCGCGGGTCTCTCGGCGAGCGCGGCGCGGACGCACAATCCCAAGGCTGTTGCTATTAAGCCGCTCCGTGGCCCTCGGCGTGGGTGGTCCGCCGCGCCATAGGCCGGACCTGTCAGGGTCACGTGACGGACCCGAAAACTTTACCCCTTTACAATAAACTCAAGGAAAGCAAAGTAAACTCGAGGAGCGTGCTATCAGCACAGCCCTCCTGGGTAAACAGGCGCGCCCTACCCGCCTTCCCGGGGGGTGGGGGGGCGTCCGGCCCGGCCCGCGAGCCCCGGCGAACCCCCCATCCGCCCCCCGCCCCTCGGCCTGCGGGGGATCCCTGGGCACCCCTCGCCTGCCCCACCTTGTGCCCCCCCACATTATTTGCTAACGTTTGGCCTTCTGGCCAGAACCCCAGGGGGAGGGAGTGCTGGGGGGAAGGAGGAAGCGCGCTCACCATCCCCTGCAGTCCGGGGGAAATGGGGGGCGCCGCGAGGGCTGCCGAAGAACTCCACCTTTCATGGCCTCCGTTTTCTAAGCCCTTGCCTGCTGCATTCCCACGGAAGCGCTGGGAAGCTGGCAGTTGACAGGCCCACAGGGAGGCCGGGAGCTGGGTAGATAACCCGAGCCTTCCCAGGGAAATGTTCAGCACCACAAGAAGTGAGCTGTACATGGAGTCCTCCGGGTTCCATTGGAGGTCCCTGGGAAGCCGCTACTTCTGAAGAGACCAAGGTGGGGTCTTTTGGAAAGATTAGTAGCTGACTGAGGAATCCCTAATTGATATTTGCTTCTTTTCCCTTCCAATTACTGTGGTTTGGGGGGTATACCACCCAAATTCTCTCACCCACACTGCCTTCCTGTACTAGGTTAGCTTGGGTGATGGGGTTAGAGGTGCTGGTGGGTGCTGGGGAGAACATTTTGGCTCTAAATGGGAACATCCTATTCAGGGAAGACCCACTGCTAGGAAGACAGTTTCACACAGCTGAGAGGTGTTGTTTAAATGGACCACATTATGGGGGCGGGGGGATGACTTACAGATACAGGCAAAAGGGATGGGGTGATAAAATGTACTGAAGCTAAGTTAACCAGCAGGTCTTCAACAAAGCCAGGCTTCCGGACTCCTCGACACAGGCCTTTGCCCGTGCTCTACCCCTGGGCCACACCCCCAATCCCCAAACCCAAGTTTTACTCCCCTCTTTCTGGGCTGACAGTGTGAGTTGCATGGGGCATGCCCAAGCCCATGTGTTATTAAATAATACTAATCCTAAGAGTTAGTTTATTCCCCTTCCCCCAAGATGATGTACCGTTCTTTAATAGGGTCATTTGAGTTTCCAGAATGTTTGCACTTGAAACACATTAAGTAATTAAACATTGGAATGGTGGGTGGCTGGTCCAGAAGTGTGTTTCATACCAACTGACTAGGGATGAGGGTATTAGGTGAGCATGGATCCTAAGAATCATTAAAAAAAAAAAAAAGAAGAAGAAGAAAGGGGGCTGGGGATTCAGCTCAGTGGTTT